AAAGTGTGAAAGATAAATGAGAATTTTCAGTCATCTTCAAATAATAGAACCGCAATCAGACAAGTGTCAAAGGAGCAATGACGGAAAGGTTGCGTTCGTGTGACACATGTCACGCGCGTGGCGAGCCGCGATATTAACCAATTTATCCTAAGAGGAGAGGATGTAACATTAGGGGATCATGGTAGGGGAAGAAGGTGTACGTTACTACCGATTCAGAAAATATACGAGCGTTGCTATAAACCGTACCCCAATTCGCTGCCCATCTAATCGTTTCATTCAATTCTTTTCTGACTGACCCCTTTCCCATAACAGAAATGTGTCGCGTAGAATCTATAGGATTGAATCTATTCTAACTGCCATTGATCCTAATTCCCTTACAACTTGTCCGCAGAAATCATTTTATATGACGATTTATCCGGCAATTTTCGCTCCTGAAGGGTTCTAATATCATAACTGGGAACTAGAAAATATTAATTTCGTAGATTGTTCCAATATTAAGAATATTAAGAATTCTCGAATGACGAATTCTAGTTTGCTGTAAAATAAAACAGAAATTAACCATTTTTCTTTCTATAATAGTTAATGCTATTTTGTAACTAGCATTGTTTAAAGTGTATTTATTAAATTTTGATTACTTCATTACAATTCTTCCATTTTGTATTGTGATTTTATTATGTTTCTTATTTAGTTACTTATTTACTGTATACATACATGTATTATTATAGAAGTTTGGACACGTAATAGAATGAATTTCATTCAAAGACGTTTCAAGACTAATCGTTCAATTCATCTTGATGTTGAATGTAATACTGCATTATAAAAAGGAGATATCAATGTAATAAAGAATGAAGATCATTTGGATAAGATATTTAAATTGATTTCTAGAGACCTTATAAATCCTTCTTAATCATTCACTCTTACTTTCAGTAGTAGTAAGAATGTTTCAAATCAATCTGATTTATGTAACACAGTCTAAATATAAATATTTCTATAACATTTTGAATAAACATTTCCTACTCAGAGAATTGTATATGAATTGCGAATTTTTCTCCACGTTTCTGAATTTTTTAACTCTCATTTGAAAATTTCAACCTCCCAATAAGTAAGATAGTAATAAACATTAATGCTAATTTTATCGAAGGTATCAGAAAACACCTTTTGCAATCTTAATTTAAAATTACTTTCTAAGTTCAATCCCTTTCCTTCGATTGATTTTTCGATTCTATAATCTATAACAATTATAGAATTAATTTAACAATATATATTAATTTTATAATCGTTATAGGAAAAGTCGAAAATTCAATTCAAGTCAATTGAGAACAAATCGTTCAACTTAGAAAATAATTTCAAGTTAAAACTTGTCTAATATCTTTAGTAAAAACGATGTTAAAGATTTCGAAATAGTAATTACGAAACCATTTTCTTTGACGATAGGGCAGCCTACAGATTCATCCGTGTCAATATCCACCTCTGGTGGTGGGATACGCGAGGACTTACGGTGCCAAAAGTGTTCCTCAGCCTCGTGGATGCCCATCCAAACAAGATCGCTTACATCTTCGAGAACAAAGAATGGACCTATCGAGAGGTAAATTTGCAATGTTAGCGGTGATCTCAAAGAAACGACATAACGTTTCAAATTGTACCTTCAGTTAGAGGAGTACAGCAATCGCGTTGGACGGTACTTTTACTCGACACGATTGCCGCGTGGGAGCAGAGTCGCTTTGATCATGGAAAATCGACCCGAATACGTCGGCACGTGGCTAGGTCTGAGCAAGGCTGGGTATGTGACCGCGCTAATCAACACGAATCTTCGTCGCAAAGTCTTGGTGCACAGTATAGAGACGTCTGACTGCAAAGCGGTGATTTTCGGGTCTGAATTTGCAGAAGGTAAGAATCAGTGGTTCAAATGGAACCTTTTATTTTGAATATATTTTTTTGAAGTAACTGAGAAAAGGACAAATTTACATAATTCAACACGAATTTCCTTCATTTTTAATAAACTTTTAATTGAAATCTTAAAAGACTCGTTTGGTTTGATTAATTGAATTTTCATTGCTAAATGGAATTGCGTTTATGTTGAAATCGGCGTGTGTATTTATAAGACTGGAAAGAAAAGTGTCTAGTTACTTCTCAGAAAAATTAATTCTATAATAAATTTGGATGTATTTCATAATATAAAATTGTGAACAGACTAACCAAATCTACTAAAATTTTTTAATCAATGGAAATTGAAATATTGATTGTTCAATATTTCAAAAGAAAAGTAAATTAATTTACGTCATTTTCGAAGTAAGTGATTTACATGTTAAGGAATCAAATGTAGAAAATATATTGAATAAGTATTGTAGATGAAATTCAGGTATAACTTTATTCGGAACATTCGTAGAAGTATTTCATAATGGATTGTTATTAATTAGTGTCTCGCTCGTTTCCATGAATTCCATTCCTTGAAAGGTGAACCCACGATAAATATATTCGTATGAATAATGAATAAGGTACATGTTGGTCCAGTGTCTTTTTTTAATTTATTTTCGTATGACATCGTGTAATTTTGGAGTCGTGTATTATATATCAGCGTTTCTTAAATGCTAAATTGTTTGATACCAGCTGCCACAATATTTTATTACCGTACTACTTATTCATAATCAGCACTTAATAATGATGACTTGTAACTTTTTCATTTACATTCCAGAAAATATTATTTGCATAAATAAAGAAAATTTGTTATTAAAAATAAAAATTTTTAAATATAATTACCTCATTTTCAGTACTATTATTACAATAAATGCAAGGTTGTCTCATTTATGATAATGATACGTATTTTAATGTAAAAGAAAAAGTTATCAGTCATCATAAATAAGTGCTGATGAGATATAATAATATAAGTAATATATATATATATATACCTTGCATTTGTTTGTTACAAGGCTTACAAAATATAATTACACTAAGCCTTACAAGGCTTACAAGTATAATTTACACTAGAACTAGCAAATCCGTCAAAATGGCTTATTCCTGGTTTCTTATTTGAAAATTATTGAAAAGATAATAATGCTATCCTCAGAAATTATTGAAGAAATTATGTTCGAAATACTCAAACTGAATTACAAGTCAATCGAAATCTCAATAGATGGACGCTTAGAATTTCCATACAAAAATTGGACAAAGACATGTTCAATAATTCCATCTTTTATAATACAATCATAATACTTTTACAATAATACTACTTATAATAATAATAATACTTCCATAATAATGCTGTTTATAGGAATAATAATACATTCATAATAATACTGATTATAATAATAATAATACTTTTATAGTAATAACAATACTTTCAAAATACAATATGCGTTTAGCAACGAATTTACGTTTACTTTGCAGCAATTCGTGAAGTGAAAGACAAAATCCCGGGTCTGACTTTGTACCAGTGGTCAGAATTACCGGATACGCCGTGTCTTGAAGGTACCACCGATCTCAGTGCGGAACTCCCGAGCGTCGATCCTTCATCTCTCGTGAAACTGTTCATTAATGATACACCCCGGAACAAACTGATCTACATTTATACATCGGGGACTACTGGCATGCCAAAAGCCGCTGTCATCACTAACCTAAGGTGAAGTGCTATTTTCTTTGTTAAAACTTGAGTGTGAAAGTAAGATACGTGGCATTTTCGTGAACACTTTGTATTACAATAACCGTTATCGATTCAGCCTTTGATCCCTGCTTAACCAAAGGCTAAAAGATATTAGCATGACTAATTCGTTTTGTCGATTAATCGGTATATGCAATTAATGTAAATGCATATCTTCATTCACTTTTAATTTTGCGTGAATATATCATGGCCGTTTATGCAAATACAGAATCTTTATACGTGAATTTATGGTAATCATAAATCATAAGGTAACCATGAGATCATAATTTGTTATTCTAATGAACAGTAGGTCAAGCCAAAGAAGAAACGGAAAATAGTGGCATACTTTATTGACTACTTCTCACAGAACATAAACTTTGTGTTTTATTAGAGGGCTTTTAAAACGTTATTGAATTTCATGGACTTTAATATTAGATTAGTCGTTTGATTATTAGCTCAAATATTACACATTTTATTTTAGTGTTCAGTCAAATACGTCAATTTCTTTTAATGTTTCCAAAATTTGTAACAAAAGCAGTTAAAATGAAGAGGTATGTTTTCATTACTGTAATATTTAATGAAAAATAAAGTTCATTGAATGAAAAATGAACAGAAGGATAACAATATATTATGTTACAGGTTCATGCTGATGTCATGCGGAGTTCATTACATGTTGAACCTGCGATCGACCGATCGAATTTATAATTCGCTGCCACTTTACCACACAGCGGGAGGGTTGATCGGAGCTGGTCAAGCATTGCTGATGGGTGTAACGGTCGTTCTCCGCAGACGTTTCAGCGCTTCAAAATTCTGGCCGGATTGTGTCCATTACGAATGCACTGTAAGGTTATTTAATCGTGTTTCGTTTTGTATTTTGAGTTTTTGGACACGTTTTTCCAATATACGCAGAAGTATTTTAATGTAAACTTTAAAATTGAATTTTATTACAAGAATTGCGATTACTTATATTGATCACGACATTACGTTTATCTATATATTTTATTCAATACAATCTATTTCATCATTAATTTAATTAATTAATTAATTAATTATTATTATTCTGGTTCCTTTATGCTTTTCGTAAAACAAAACAAAAGTCAAATTCTAATAAGCTGTATTAAATTTCATCTATTTAATAATATGAATTGATTAATTAATTATTATTATTAATCAATTTATATTACTAAAGAGACAAGGTTTAGTGGAACTTATTAAAGTTTTGCTTCTGTTTAGCTTTACGAAAAGCGTAAAGGAAAAAGAATTTGGTTTGACTTAAACCTTTATAATTTTCCTGTAAAAATATATGTGCATAAACTTCTGCTGTATGTTTATGAAATCAGATTTTGGAATTCAAAGTTATATAATAACGAAGATTTTTTTTTTAACTAAAATTAATGATAAGAATTTTTATAATAAGTTACAAGGTTTGTAAAATAGAAAATAAATATGAAATTTGTGCAATATGGTATAAAATAAATGTATGGAATTAGAAATTAACATTTCTGCCTTTTAATAATTGAAGTAATTGTTTAATTACAGGTCGCCCAATATATCGGTGAAATCTGTCGATATTTGCTCACTACTCCACCGAATCCCTGTGACACGAAGCACAAAGTTCGTCTGGTATTCGGAAACGGGCTCAGGGCACAGATATGGAAACCCTTCATTGATAGATATGGTGTGAAACAGATAGGTGAATTTTATGGGGCCACCGAAGGGAACTCCAATCTCGGTAACATTAAATCTTTTTCTATTTATATGAGGATCTATCGTAAAAAGGAAGGGACAACTATTTCTTTGTTATCTTTTAGTGAATATTGATAACAAAGTTGGTGCCGTGGGATTCGTACCACTGTGTGCGGGTTCCTTATACCCTGTGGCTCTGTTGAAAGTGGACGAAGAAACAGGAGAGCCATTGAGGGGACCTGATGGTTTGTGCGTGAGGTGTAAACCTGGTAAGTTTACTAAATATTTTGCATAACTATTCGCATAGAATAATAACATAATAAAATAATATAGAAATTAAAATAATAAAATAACAATAATTAGAAATTGATGGATTAAGTGGTGTACATGTATATGTTACGATGAATTTGATTAATCGGGAGAATATACATAACTAAGTAGGAAATTATGCGTAAGCGCCAATAACATTGGAGAATAATTATACATAATCACCGGGGGAATATGCATAACCCATGTTTTATCATATTCTCCGTAACATATACATAAATGCGACTCATCGATGCTTTAGATATTAGTACAATATAAATATAGTAATTTAAATATTACAATTTAAATATTCACTTATTTATAATTCTAAGATTACGTATACGTTTTTCATGAAAGGTTTAGTCTTTAACATTTTTGTACCAATTTAATTCATTTTTAGTACTTCTAGCACTTTAGAGTTTCATTAGATTACAACATAAAGAATAATGTGTTGTTGTTAACCTGTTGAATGATAAATTTAAATAAACACCCATAGTGTAGCTACACTAGTGGCAAATTATATAGAAAATTATAGTCAATTCTGTAGAAATAAATAGAGAATTATTTTAAAATTTGTAACATATTTGCATAACAACTAATAAACTTCATGTTCTCAACGTTTTATAAAGTTCTTACACTGTTGAAATTAGAATTTACTTTAAATGAACTACTTATATAAACAAATACTTACAGTTTGTTTTTCGGTGTCCCTTTTCTAATCAGCTTTTGTTCACTGTGCTCGGTAACATTTAATGTTAATTTCTTTTTGTTTCTGTAGGTGAGGCAGGTATTTTCGTGGGCAAGATAGACCCGAAGAAAGTAGTGAACGACTTCTGTGGTTACGCGGACAGCAAGGCGTCCGAGCAGAAGATCCTGCGGGACGTGTTCCGAAAGGGCGACCGTGTCTTCAATTCTGGTCGGTGAATCGTAAAATAAAAACGGTGTATTTCGTAGTAGGTTCATGCCATTAAAAACGCGTTTTTCACAGGTGATATTTTGGTTATGGATGAGTTCGGCTACTTTTATTTCAAGGACAGGACCGGTGACACCTTTAGGCAAGCATATTCAGTATTTCCATGATTGTAAATAGTCTGGCCAGGACAGAATTAATTAACGAACGCACGTTATTCCTAAATTGTAGCCTATTAATTGTGGAAAGTATACAATTCAGTTTTCTATTTTTTACGATGTGTTTAATGAATTTTATTAATGATCGTAGGTGGCGTGGCGAGAACGTTGCCACTTCGGAAGTTGAGGCTATCGTTAGCAATGTGATACAATTAAAGGATGCAGCTGTTTACGGTGTTGAGGTGATTGTTAAAGAAAAGTAGACTCATTTGATAAATGAGTTCAGGAATTGTTTTTAAATATTGAACACAAATTTGTAGGTACCTCATGTAGAAGGGAAGGCAGGAATGGCTTCCATTTATGATCCAGATAAGACGCTAAATATTAAGGAAATGGCGGAGGGCGTGAAGAAAGCCCTGCCACCTTACGCTAGGCCTCTTTTTGTTCGAGTTCTATCGGAACTACCAATGACGGGTAACTGGCTTAATATTGTGCATAAAATTGATAGAAAGAATTTCAAGTAGAATTACAATTAATAATGAACTGAAATTTTCTCTGTAATCTGCAATATCTACTGAGTGAGTTTTGTAAAGTTTGTCATATGAAGTATGAATTCAAAAGTAGAATTGCTTTGTTACGTCCAGTGTTTGAAGAACATAAGTTTTTAAGACTGTTAAAAAGTTCAATTTAGATTCAAAATATAGAGAAGAGTTTCTTAAATATATCAGTTTAATAATTATTTATTTTTCAAATTTTTAATGATTGTAAAGTTAAACTTTGAAATGTTTACATTTTTCTAAAAACATTTTCATCTAGCATGAAAATGCTATAATGTATCAGATTTTTCAGATATTCGTGAAAAATATTCATTTAGAAAGAATATTGCTACAGTTTTAATTTAGATAAGTCGACAAAATATCTTTTAACATCAATATGTGCAAGACGTTTTCCCACCATGCGGACATTACTCGTTTATCTCGACACTTCAGTGCCGTAACTACTTACGCGTCCACCAATTTCTCCCGATAGTTCTCAGATTTAAATAATTCTCATATTGATTTCACGATGTTAATGAAAAATAAATACACCTATCATATCGTTTGTATCCTTCAATAGATTTAAAAGGACGAAATGTTAACTCTTTGTACTCGAAAGTTTCTTCTCTACATATATTCATTATTTTCCAAAGAAACATTAATTAAATCATTGTTACCAGCAAATAGAACTGATACACGAATCATTGGAATAGAACCATTTCACTTTAATATTTCATTACATTATGTAAAACGGGACATTGAATATTGAGTATTATAATCTTTCTATATGTAACGAAATGATGACTACATCATCTATCGAGTGCTAAGAGTTAATAAGTGTATACGCAATCGTGTCTCTGCTTTGAACAATTTTATAAGAATCGCATAGTGGATATAACAGATCAAAATTCACATTATGCATTGCACGAGTATTCTTTGTACTTTTAGGTACATTCAAGCTGAAGAAAAAGGATCTCCAACAAGACGGTTTCAACATCAAAAAGGTAATTTTTTACTTCGTCCGCAATTGCCTATTATTTCTTTGCACAGTAATAAGGATTTACTTTATAACTGTTGTTTGCAGATAACAGACCCAGTTTATTTTCTGGACCACACTGGTGTTTACGTGAAACTCACGGAGCAGCTTTACAACGATATTCTCGAGGGAAGAACTCGGTTATAAACGCTGCGAACTGAACTTTTTTAGAAGTAATATTTACCAGAATGAGCCGCTGAATGTTTAACCCCGATTTTTGTACAATTTTTATTTATTGATAGGGAAGAGGAGTATGTCGAACCCGAGTGTGTTCGATCGGTCAATTGTCTTTCGTCTCGCCGGAACATTTCGCCGGAAATTATTCCGAGAAGATTGCATTTATACATATTTTTACACCATTACTCTAGCCAAACGAAAATCACAGATTTCGAGGCTGCCAGAATGTACGATTTATACAGTCTCCTATCCGTGTAGAATAATAATATCCTCTGTAGACCCAGTTTCCTTTAAATCTTTTTAGCGGTAATTGTAGATATATTTTGTGCAAAACATTCCTAGTGACTAAGGTTTTGCATTATTTTTTAGGGAAAAGTGATAAGGACTGCGATTGTAAAGTAAACGTTGTAAAATGATATGCCATATCATAGTTTAATAAATTGTTTCTCTGTTAACAAAAAGGCAACACCATTCTCTGTTTCGCTTAATCTTACTCTCCGATCACCCAGCAGACAGACACATTGTTTACGCACTCACTCTTATCGTTATCAAACCATTATATAGCACCGAGCAAACACGTCACGAATAATACAATCACCGAAACAAATTATTGCATCAATAAATCACTCTTTAATTTCGTGTCAAATCGAAACGACTCCCGAAACATTTTTATCTACATTAAAACTACGATTTCTTTTGACAACCGAAACGCACGAAAACCGCTGCAACATTACAAGAGTTACTTAACCGGTTACGCAACCGCCGTTCGTTCTAAATAAATGGAAAAACACTAGGAATTCCGTCATGTCAATTTAGTGCTATAGTGCTGCTATCGCGTGCGCCTATCCACGGCCAGCAATCTGAAAATATACGGAAAGTGTCACAACTGTAAATACGGACATACCCCCCTGAATCGACGCTTTAAAGATTGCTCCAGTTAATTTCAACACGCAATCAATCGATTAATATATTCCTAAACCGCGAAACGTTCATTAATTGTCAGCTGACGCAGTAAAACCGTGGATTGCTCTGTTTTCTTGCCGCTGTGTTATGTTCACATACTCGAGGTCTTATCGAACGTTATCGTGGACGGTTCTGAGTGATTCCAGAAAATTTAGCTTCCCCGCTGGAGACAGTTCCCCGTCAAACGTGTTCGCGGTTGTCGCCGACCGGACGGAAGTTGCTATTGTCTACTAGAATAGCGTGAGAAATGCGAAGAGAGATGTTCGAGTTCGCCATAGATCGCGGCGGCACGTTTACCGACGTCTACGCCAGGTGTCCGGGCGGCAAAGTTCGAGTGATGAAACTACTGTCGGTGGATCCCGCTAACTACGAGGATGCGCCGCGCGAAGGAATTCGCAGGATCCTCGAACAGGTGATTGTATTAGCCGTGATTGAGTAACATATGAGAACGTTGAATGCCATGCGAGTCCCCAATCAAATCCATTACTATAGTTCACTCAATTAAACGATGATTATTTATAAACATTTCTATATTTTAAATAATGCTGCGTAATGCGGTGGCAATCAGTTAGATGGACTCGCAATAATAATAACACAATTTAATCAAATGAATGAATACTATATTTGTTTCACTTTGTGTATTTTGCTTTATGAAATCGTGCGGTGTTCAACGTGTTAATAATAAAT